AGTCAGTGCTAGTAACATGGCAGTCAGTACTAGTAACAGAGCAGTCGATGCAGTCAGTTCTAGTAATAGGGCAGTCAGTACTAGTAACAGGACAGCCAGTGTTAATAACAGAGCAGTCAATGCAGTCAGTTCTAGTAACAGGGCAGTCAATGCCGTCAGTTCTAGTAACAAGGCAGTGAAATCAGTCAGTGCTAGTAACATGGCAGTGAAATCAGTCAGTGCTAGTAACATGGCAGTCAGTACTAGTAACAGAGCAGTCGATGCAGTCAGTGTAGTAACAAGGCAGTCAATGCAGTCAGTGCTAGTAACATGGCAGTGAAATCAGTCAGTGCTAGTTACATGGCAGTCAGTACTAGTAACAGAGCAGTCGATGCAGTCAGTTCTAGTAATAGGGCAGTCAGTACTAGTAACAGGACAGCCAGTGTTAATAACAGAGCAGTCAATGCAGTCAGTTCTAGTAACAGGGCAGTCAATGCCGTCAGTTCTAGTAACAAGGCAGTGAAATCAGTCAGTGCTAGTAACATGGCAGTGAAATCAGTCAGTGCTAGTAACATGGCAGTCAGTACTAGTAACAGAGCAGTCGATGCAGTCAGTGTAGTAACAAGGCAGTCAATGCAGTCAGTGCTAGTAACATGGCAGTGAAATCAGTCAGTGCTAGTTACATGGCAGTCAGTACTAGTAACAGGGAAGTCACTGCAGTCAGTGCTAGTAACAGGGCAGTCAGTAATATTAACAGGGCAGTCATTTCTAGTAACAGGGCAGTCAATGCAGTCAGTCCTAGTAACAAGGCAGTGAAATCAGTCAGTGCTAGTAACATAGCAGTCAGTACTAGTAACAGAGAAGTCACTGCAGTCAGTGCTAGTAACAGGGCAGTCAGTACTAGTAACAGGGCAGTCAGTTCTAGTAACAGAGCTGTCAATGCAGTCAGTTCTAGTAATAGGGCAGTCAGTACTAGTAACAGGACAGCCAGTGTTAATAACAGAGCAGTCAATGCAGTCAGTTCCAGTAACAGGGCAGTCAATGCAGTCAGTCCTAGTAACAAGGCAGTGAAATCAGTCAGTGCTAGTAACATAGCAGTCAGTACTAGTAACAGAGAAGTCACTGCAGTCAGTGAGTAACAGGGCAGTCAGTACTAGTAACAGGGCAGTCAGTTCTAGTAACAGAGCAGTCAATGCAGTCAGTTCTAGTAACAGGGCAGTCAGCACTAGTAACAGGGCAGTAAGTACTAGTAACAGCAGTCAATGCAGTCAGTTCTAGTAACAGGGCAAGCAATGCAGTCAGTTCTAGTAACAAGGCAGTGAAATCAGTCAGGGCTAGTAACATGGCAGTGAAATCAATCAGTGCTAGTAACATGGCAGTCAGTACTAGTAACATGGCAGTCAGTACAAGTAACAGAGCAGTCAATGCAGTCAGTGCTAGTAACAGGGCAGTCAATGCAGTCAGTGCTAGTAACATGGCAGTGAAATCAGTCAGTGCTAGTAACATGGCAGTCAATACTAGTAACAGAGCAGTCAATGCAGTCAGTTTAGTAACAGGGCAGTCAGTACTAGTCACAGAGCAGTCAATGCAGTCAGTACTAGTAACAGGGCAGTCAATGCAGTCAGTTCTAGTAACAGGGCAGTCAATGCAGTCAGTTCTAGTAACAGGGCAGTCAATGCAGTCAGTGTTAGTAACAAGGCAGTGAAATCAGTCAGTGCTAGTAACAGGGCAGTCAATGCAGTCAGTGCTAGTAACAGGGCAGTCAATGCAGTCAGTTCTAGTAACAGAGAAGTCAATGCAGTCAGTTCTAGTAACAGGGGAAGTCAGAACTAGAACAGGGACGGTCAGTGCTAGAACAGGGGCAGTGCACCTGGAAACACTTCCTCCTACTCTTTATTGACAATATTGAAAGGAACATTCCTTTGCAATGACAATCATTGTGGTTAGTACATCACCCCACCCAGGTTGAACAAAACATTTGTGTGTAGTACAACCCTGGCTTGACATGAATAGCATGATTGTAACAAATATAAAGCGTGTACATTCAATGGGAAGTAGTAGTATATTTTTAGACACAGATTTTGTTTTTGTTTTTTTCAGTTTTTTGCGAGTGATAAGGAAGTACGCGAAACATATGGCAATTTAGAAACCATTGAAAGTAGCAGCTTGTGGTATCAAGTAGAAACATACGCCATTATGTCAATTCTAATTGTCATTCAGTAAATTTTCAATGAAATAAATTCATATTCATATCAGCTTTTATAATGCTAAAACAGCTATTTTCATTTGTATTACTTTTCCAACCGTATGCACAATCAGATTAAAATAAGATCTTACTTTGCACTTTTTTTTTTATAGTTTTTATGGGTCGAATATTGCAATGAACATTATGTAGATAAAATATTGAATTACACATTATTGCTCAGTGCCTATAGTTCTATATTTCCCTTAACATGACATAGTCAACATATTGAATGATACATTATAACCCAGTGACTATAGGTCTATATTTTCTTGAACATGACATAGTCAACATATTGAATTATACATTATAACCCAGTGACTATAGGTCTATATTTTCTTGAACATGACATAGTCAACATATTGAATTATACATTATAACCCAGTGACTATAGGTCTATATTTTGTTGAACATGACATAGTCAACATATTGAATTATACATCATAGCCTAGTGACAATAGGTCAATATTTCCCTTAACATGACATAGTCAACATATTGAATTACACATTAGAACCCAGTGACTATAGGTCTATATTTTCTTGAACATGACATAGTCAACATATTGAATTATACATTATAGCTCAGTGACCATAGGTCTATATTTCCCTTAACATGACATAGTCAACATATTGAATTACACATTAG